AATATTTCCAAAACAGTTGAGCTTAGGTACAGGGTATATCATATGAAATCTGCTCAGAATTTTACGTAGATTCCAAATATTCAATAATATACAGGCTATTCTATTTATACTAAGAAAGTTTCACCACGACTAGCTTTTATCCCTGTATATGCGAGAATTTTTTTTTTTATAATTTCAACTGTACAGCTTAAAGTTCATTAATTAATTACCTACTTAATATTTTAGTTTTCATACTCCTTTCGGAACTGGCGTCGAAGTGTTTGGGACCACCAAGAATGAGAAAAAAAAAGTTTTCAGCCAGAAGAAAGTGGAATTTGAAGTCTATACACCCACCGAGTCGACATTAATATTTCCTGAGATCCAACACAGCCATTAGTAAACACGCACGTGCAGTGTCAAGTGATGTGTCATACCAATATTAGAATTCGATTTTGGCACCGCATTGTGGTCATTCTCTCTCACTACAAAGCACGAGATTGACGGCCTCCACACCATCCAAAGTTGACGTAGTGAGGTCCAGGAAGAAAAACTCTACCCGTAGGAAGACGGTGATTGACTTGACTGAACAACTTTACAGAATTATTTCCATTATCAATGGTATTTTCATCAAGATAGGCCAGTTAACTGATCTATAATCGGATACAGGGTGTCTGTTTTTTGAGGACAACCATTTAGGCTCGGTTGTACAATCCAGGTCCAAACAGAGGTTCAGCTGAACTCTACTGGTACTTGAAGCTTCCCATCTGAAATACATTGCTGTCAGAAACATGCCAAAGTGTACATTTTTTGACAGCAATGCATTTCAAATGGGAAGGTTCAAGTACCAGTAGAGTTCAACTAAACCTCTGTTTGAGCCTGGATTGTACAACTGGGTCTTAGACTCTGAGATAGGGACTTTGATGGAGTCATTTTTTTTTTCTCCGGCATCTTGAGGGCTGAATGTGTCTAGTTAGCTGATGAGAATATAAGTGGTTTTAATGCTTGCTCTCTGTTCGAAATGTCCACAGAATTTTCCGCGGAAAACTCAATTTCGAACTGTGATTACCGTCTGGCTATCTTTCAGCTTTATTTTCACAACAAAACCTTTTATTCTCTCGATTGCCAGACAGAAAGTAACTGCGGAAGGTTCTGTACTTTTCTCTTGCAAGTTGACACCCATCCCCACTTTTTCAGCCATTGAAAAACATCTGGTATTTTTTATGGGTGAATTATTTATCAATGTCAATCTCCTATTTAAAAGCCAGACAATTTGAGATCATTAAAAAAAATGCCTCTTGTGAATGATATTTTTTTCTTCTGCAAATTTTCGTACAGGTGGCAGGCATTAAAATCACCCATATTCTCATCAGCTAACAAACTACATTCAGATCTCAAAATGCCAACCAAAAAAAATTACTCCACCAAACTGTCCCTATCTTACGGTCTAATTAGGATCTCGAAAACGGTAAGAGATACGAGATCGGTTAAAACACGGCAAAGTTGCATAATTTAATGCACAATAAAACGCCGTTTTGCCATTTGATAAATTTCGAACACTTTCGGAGAGATTCGGAAAAAACCGAAATTTCGCGAAAGGCTTTTTAATTTTTTTCTTGTCTTATCTGTAGTGCTTTTTCAGAACGAACGGTACTTCATCGTTGCCTCTTTTTCTCCTCTACAAGATGACACCATTAAATTTCAAATCCGACGTTTCGTCTCAGAATGCCCTTCATCAACTTTATTATTTTAAATACGCCCCGCATTTTTAAATACTTTCTTCAGAGATTCAGAGCCTATTTAGATCCTTGAAGCATTGATCCATATCATACCTATCGATACATCACAATTTTCCTGGAAAATATCGGATTTATGATTTTTTGGCTCAATACTCAGGACAGTCTCCAATCAGCCCTGAAAAAATTAGCCTGCCCTCGTAAATTTTTTTGAACTTCCCACAAAGGACCCCGCAATATTTAAATGGAAATTGGTTACCCGAGATATTTGGATGAAACTTAATTATATTATTGGGGATGCCATGGGCAACATTTTTTTATCATGGGCACAACCTTGTATATATGACAGGTGAGGCGGTGTCAGCTGTCAATTATTGAAATCTTTCATATAGGAGGGTAACTATGGCAGATTTTGATTAACGAAATATCGATTTCTACGAAGTCGACTATGATTAATCGAGAAATGTCAAATATTTTGACACCTGTCAAAACTCTGCCAAACGGCAGCACTCATATTTTTCTGTTTTCAATATTTTATGATATGATGGTCATTTTTAGCTTGTATGTAAATGCAGGGTTCAAAAATTTTAAAAAATTACAGGACTGTCATTCATTTTAGTAGAAAAAAAAATCCCCAATCTAGTTCTTTTCCATTTTAAGGTAGTTTGTATATTACATTGAACAAAGTTATTGGATGATACTGACAGCTGTCAAAATGTGACGTGTATAAACTTTCTTTAATGTCTAAATAATAATAAATAAAAACTTCTTTAAAACGAAAAATAACCAGATTGGAGTCTTTTTTTCTACTAAAACAAATGACAGGTTTTGACAGTTCTGTAATTTTTTTCAATTTTTGAACTCACCATTTACATACAAGTTAAAAATGTCAAATGACATACTAAAATATTGAAAGCTGAAAAATATAAGTGCTGCCGTTTGGCATCGATTTGACAGGCGTCAAAATGGTTGACATTTTTCGATAAACCTTCGACGAATTCGTAGAAATCGAATAGTTCATTAAAATTTGCCATAGTTACTCTGCTTTTGAATATTAGATTACAATGTTTGACAGCTAACACCGCCTCGCCTGTCATACATACAAGGTTGTGCTCATGGTAATGTTGCTAACGGCATCCGCAATCACACAATTAAATTATGTCTTATATCACGGGTAACCAATTTCCATTTAAATATTGCGGGGTCCTTTACTGTACTAAGATGTAATATCGGAATCAGTATGATAAACGAAGGAATATGTATTTTTAGTATTTTACATAAATCGCGTTGGATAAAGACGGACTTATGGCCGAAGTACTATATTTAAGAGATATGAGTTGATTTACTTACTTCAATCCGATATTTTCCAGGAAAATTGTGATGTATCGATAGGTATGATAGGTCAATGCTTTGAGGAGCTAAATAGGCTCTGAAAAAAGTATTAAAAAATGTGAAGCCGTATTAAAAATAATAAAGTTGATGATGGGCGATCTGAGATGAAACGACGGATTTGAAAATTAATGATGTCATCTTGTAGGAAAAAAAAAAATGACAATCATAGGGTGCAATTTGTTTTAAAAAAGCTCTTCAAATAAGCTCAGAAATTTTTTTTTTTGTGAAATTTCGGTTTTTCCCGAATATTTCCGAAAGTGTTCGGAAATTATCATATGGCAAAACGACGTTTCATTGTGCATCAAATTAGGTATTCTTTCGATTTGAATAAACTGCACAAACTGATCGCACAGGTTTGTTTATGCGGAGTCAAAAAAACAGACAGGGCCAATCAAATCTTTGTAAAACTGGATGACAATTGTTTTAAATTAACCTCAACTGACTACTATCAGTTTTAGTCCAGGAGGTGGCGTTGAAAACATGCAAGAGTTTTCGGAAGGCTGATATTTTCAAAATAGGTCGTACTTTAGTAATAAAAGGCTCAAAATTAATAGAAATTTTGCACATTATCTGTTGGAAGGTCACAGATAACGTGTGTATATCGTCAGACGTCTAGGTCGCTGCGAAAAGGGTTTCAGGGCTGGAACTCTGTAACGGATAGAGATCGTTATCCCTATCGCTATGGCACTTACTGTCTTCTTCTCTCTTGTCAAAATCAATAGAGAGGAGACGTCAATAGAGATAGAGAAAATATCTCTATTCGTTACAGAGTTCCAGTCCAGACGCCCTGAAAGTTTTTATTTTATGGCATTTTCTTCGGTGTCCTGTCAAAATATATTTTTCCTACGAGCGTGCGCAAAGTAGTACTTTTCCGCACGCATTTCCGGGCTCAAAGTTACACTTTTCCGCACTCAGTGCGGATACAGGCCTTATCCGCACTGAGTGCCGAAAAGTAATTATAATTGTCAAGCAACAATAAGTGCACCTGTCGACTTTGACACATGATGACAAATTTTTCCTCTATTTCTATATCAGCCAACATCTATACAAACACCAATTATAAATTAACTTTGACACATCAGATTTGTTTTCTATTTATATGCAAAAATCTACAAACTTTCTCATCAAATTTAAACGCTTTAAGATGAACAGCTCTGACGAGGATTTTCTGTTATTTGTTTCTGTTATGTAATTTTTTGATAAATGCATAGGTTCCCTTCAAGTTAATTAAAAATAATTAAACAAATTATCGTTTTTTTTTTTTTAAATTTTTGTTATTACCTACCTGATATGAAGCTCGTAGGAAAAATTTTGTTCCTAACACGTGCGCAAAGTGTCTTTTCCGCACGCAAACACGTATCCGAACTCCGCTTCGCGTCGTTCGTATAACTGTGTTTGCGTGCGGAAAAGTAACACTTTGCGCACTTGTTAGGAAAATAACTATTTGCAGGTATTTGACAAATATATCTGAAGAAAATGCCATAAAATAAAAACTTTGAGGACTTCTGACCCCCTTTTTGCAACGAACCAGATGTCTGACGATTCACATACGTTATCTGTGACCTTCAAACAGATAATGTGCAAAGTTTCTATAAATTTTGAGCTTTGAGAAAACAGTTTAAATGCTTCTTAAAATTACAACTTTGCCCGCGTCCCAGGGCCAGCTGTCCCGGAACTGTGAGTGCTGACTGTACACTAGCCTTCCTACACTAAAGTACGACCTATTTTGAAAATATCAGTTTTGAGAAAACTCTTGCATGTTTTTGATGCCAGCTCCCCAACTATTTGTTCAGATCGAGAAAATACCTCTATTATGGCAAACATTTGCAGGCATGCAATGTATTTGAAAAAAAAAATAGATAATTTGGCTGATAATAAATTGAAATATGTACATACTTATCCTTTCTATTCACCGCAGAGGCAATCTGGCTAATGGAAAATATGTTGGTTGATGAAGCGAATAATGTTTCTTCAGGTGAAATTTGATCTAAATATTTGAATAATTTTCGTTTAGCGTTTAAATCCTCAGTTATGGCATCGATGATTAAATTTACATCTTCTATTGGATCAATTTTTGTGTTCAACTGTATTTTACTCATCGTTTCATCAACAAATTTTTTTTGAGCTACCTCATGTTCTCGATAAAGTTGTTCGGCAACGTTTCTCAAATTGTGAGTGATAGTTCTGGAAGCTTTCTTCAGTGCAGTTTTTTTTGGGTCAACCAAAGTCGTCTGATTTCCATGTTGAGCTGCTGTTTGGGCGATAACAGAGCCTGTATGTCCTGCTCCGTAAACTGTAACCTTTTTGATGATGTTCCTACTGGAGGTAGTTGAAATATAACGTCTTACTACTAACATTATTTTGTACACGTGAGGATGATTGTCAATTTTTGACGGTATGTCGTATTTGTTTAAAAGTAGTACCTCAGTAGGGTTTGTTCATAAACACTTGTTTTTACATATAAGTTACTGATGGCGGATATCTCCCTCTTATGTAAAAAAAAACACAAGAGGAGTAAATTATCGCAAAATACATGACTCAATGGGCTCTTTCACTAAAATTTAAATACGTAATTTAAGTGTAAAATCTCAAAGGAGGGACTATTTTAGGCATATATACCAAAAAAAAAAATGTTCTAAAAGGTTCAATAAGTTTTTCACAGGCAATCAAAAGTCGCCAAATTCAAATTAATTTTAAACGCGCCGATTTGCCGACGTCACATAAATATTCTTCATTTCGCTTATGTTGTTGCAAGGAGGACCGGCTCGACTGTGTTTGCGCTCTGTAAAGATACGTAAATGTTAGAATGCGCTGTTGTCGGTTGGGACTAAATGTAGTGCAGCATAAAATAAATAAATAAAACTAAACATAAAAAATTGTATTAAAATGTGTTTAAGCATAATTTAAAAAAAAAATTTATAAAATCTTGAATCTATAACTAATTAATTTAACTACTTTTCATGAGATTTTGCCAACATTTCAGAATTAAATCTATTACAAATTTTCAATGTTGACAATTAGTGGCAACACGGTCAAATTGCGAGCTGCGACGTCATAGAAATAAATTCTGGGTTTTTATTTGGAGGTATTTCTTTGTTTTCTGTTTTCTCAAGAAGGACTTTGAATTTTTCAAAAGTAAAAATACAGAAAATTCTGTTTTTAGTTGCTTTATCCAAATATGCCAATTTCAAAAATTAGTGAAAGAGCCCATTCTATCGGCTAATATCAATACCATGTTTGTAGTAGAAACAATGCGATGCTTTCCAAACTAATGTCTGTTTTTTTTTTAAAGATAAAGGTCAAAATGACATTATGTTGGCAATATAATGTACACAGAACACATATCCTCACGGATAGAAAAAAAAAGCTTAACGGATGGCGGGGCCTAAAAAAAAGCTTCGGATCGCATCCGCTTGGGGACACTGGAGTGAAACAAAACTATAGGTGCGGAATGAACGCCACCAGAAAATATGTCACAGTTTACTTTAGCAGTTTACCTGTTACCTATGTTTTAAAAAAATATGTCAAAATAGTTCTGAATGAGAATTCGTCTTGGTGTTGGTGTGCATTTTAAATCCAGATAAATAATTCCTAAATTCAAAAAAAAAATCAGATTTTACATAAAGCACAAGAAGTTTGACCGTTTTTGCTCTACTCGGAAGAAAAATACGTCAATATTCAATAATGAGGAAAAAGGTTTGTTTGGACTTCAGTTCAAAATCAGTTCTAAATTGGACTGCGCTTGCGCATTTGGTCATATCAAACGTATATAAAGAAATGCGAAAGCGTAGTTCAATTCTGAACTGAAGTCCGAACAAATTTAATATTCAAAATATTGACATTGGGAGAACTATTTTGAAAGGCGATTTGATTACAGAAATCTTTATTATAAATAGTTCGGATCGCATCCACCACGCCGTGACGGCGCATGGTTCCCCAAAATTTTATTAGGCAGTTTGCCTAATATCCGTGAGGATATGTATTCTGTGACAAATGTAAAATTGTCAATGCTTTCAATTTTTTTATGTAGAAAAGGCTTGGGTTGCCAACATTGTTACTAAATTTTTGACTTGGGAATTATCTTAAAAAAAAACAGACTTTAGGCACTATGCTGACGTTACACACATAATCTCACTTTCGATGGAGGGACAAAAATAGCTATTTATGCAACAATCATGTAAAGTGAAAAAAGGTACTTTACACACAAAATTGCATACAACTTTTTCTCTACTGCCAATTAAATATTTGTAAAAAAATAAACTTAGACAATTACTCTACGCACTGGTGCGTATAGTATTTTCACTTTTGCACTAGTGCGTGAAGTAATTTATCAGAAAAATACTAAATTGACAGTGACATCTGTCATTGACATTACTTCACGGACTAGTGTGTGAAGAGAATTACATTACGCACTAGTGCGTGAAGTGGAGTTTAACGTCTTCTGCATAGTGCGTAAAGTGAGTACTTTACGCACGCTAGTAGAAAATAGTTATTTATGCAATAAGTATGTAAAGTGAAAAAAGGTGCTTTACGCACGTATTGCATACAAATTTTTTTCTACTACCAATCAAATGTGTGAAAAAAAAATAAATTTAGACAAATTCTTTACGCACTAGTGCGTAAAGAATTTTCACTTTACGCACTAGTACGTGAAGTAATTTACCAGAAAAATCGTAATTTGACAGGTCGACATCTGTCATTGACATTACTTTACGCACTAGTGCGTGAAGACAAATTTTACGTCTTCTGGATAGTCCGTAAGGTGAGTACTTTACGCACGGTAGTAGAAAACAGCATTTAAGTACTATATACACACATCAATTAGGCGCTAGCTATTACTTCAGAAATGACATAACGTCACTTTTGATAGGGGTCATTGGGATAAACAAACGATATTTACATCTATTTGCGTATTTGTGTAAATAGTCAAAAAGTTCCTAAACGCTTTTTTTGTCCCCCGGGGAAAAAAGAGAAGTTATGTGTGTAACGTCAGCGAGTGCCTAATTCCCCAAACGAGTTGCTTGTTATTGGGTGCTATAATTGATACAAAAAATAGGAAACTCCCCTATGGAAAGCATGTTAGAATAAAAATAGTATATTTCATAACTAGTGCGAAAAGAAACTTTCCGCACGAGTTAGGAACACTATTTTTTCTACGAGATGAAAGTTAATATTTGTACCTATACAGGATGTATATTTTAAGTGATACCACTATTGCTATATCCGATACGGTAAGTGCTACAGGGTCGGTTAAATTAGAAAGAAAGTTGCCATTTTGATGCCCATTCAAGACTCGTTTACAGTGTTGCGAAATTCCTTTTAGTTCAGGAAATAGAGGGTGATTTCTGAGAATCACCTAAAAATATTTCATCAATTATTTCGGAAACTATTGAGTTTCGAGACACAATTTGAATTTGAAAGTTTTACAATTTCTTTCTCTCTACAACGTGGCATCTTCAAATTTTAAATCTGACGTTTCGTGATCGAGCTACTACGAAGGCGTAGAAGGGCCACATTGCAAATAATTTTTAAAATTTCGTAAAAAATCTCAAAATTTTGAAACTTTTCACAAAATTTTGCCAAATAATTCAAAATTTTGAGAATTTTTGCAAAATTTTGTAAAATGATGCAAAATTTTGAATTATTTTACAAAATTTTGCCAAATAATTCAAAATTTTGAGAATTTTTGCAAAATTTTGTAAAATGATGCAAAATTTTGAATTATTTTACAAAATTTTGTAAAAAATCTCAGAATTTTGAATTATTTTGCGAAATTTTGGATTATTTTGCGAAATTTTGCAAAAAAAGTCAAAATTTTGTAAAAAAGTACGAAATTTTGCAAAATGATTCAAAATTTTGAGATATTTTGCAAAATTTTGTAAAATAATTCAAAATTTTGAGATTTTTTGCAAAATTTTGAATTATTTTGCAAAATTTTGAATTTTTTTGCGAAATTTTGCAAAAAAACTCAAAATTTTGGATCATTTTGCAAAATTTTGAATTATTTTGCGAAATTTTGCAAAGGAAGTACAATAATTCGACCTCGTTTCTCTCAGTCGGAAAAAATATTTGCGCGTATCAATTACAAACCGACAAGCTATACGTGTGCGTTCGACTCGTGTTCTCGTGCTTACTTGGAAACGAACCAGACGAAGGAACTGAATTAAGCCATGGATGAGGTAAGTACTTTGTATCAAATTTGTTTCCTATTTCCTTTGTAATTTTGTTGGACAATACGTGCTTACCAAATACGATAATCGTTAACAAGAAAACCAGAAACCCATTCCGAGGGTTGGGAGGGGGAACCAAAATAAGGTACTTTTCAGCTCTCCCCGAACCTCACTTCTGGGGGTAGCCACCCTAACCTCAGAATCTTGAATGGCACTATGGGTCATGTGATACCTTGTTTGAAAGGTTTTTTATTTCTCTATAAACGAATCTGCAATGAAAAATTAACCAGATTCCAAAAGATTTCCAAATTCAAATGTCTCTCTAATTTAAGATTTTGAGGTTAGGTCACTACCGCTGGAGGGGAGGTTCGGGGAGAGCTAAAAAGTACGTTATTTTGGTTTCCCTGCCAACCCCCAAAAAGGTTTTTTTTCTACAACCATGCGTAAAGTACTCACTTCACGCACTCTTCAGAAGACGTAAAATTATATTTTTCACGCACTAGTGCGTAATGTCACAAAACGCTATATTTGCTAATGCTGACACTGTCAGTCAGAGGGGCGCGTTCAATTACTCCCTTTTTTGCATTTAAAAAGTGATATCTACTTCACACCCTAGGGTGTAAAGTAAGTTACTTTACGCACTAGGGCGTAAAGTTGTGGTATATTTTATCGAATTTATGACTTATATTGACGGTAGTAGAAAAAAATTTGTATGGAACTTGTGTGTAATGGACCTTTTTTCACTCATGTGATGGTCGCACGTACTCGCCTGAAACTTCACATTCGTATAAGAAAGGGTTCACTTTACACACTTGTTGCATAAATTACTATATTTCTTAGAGATTTTTGTTTCCAAGATATAGGCCATTGAAAGTTTTCGGTGGGACATCATGGTATACCTATACAGGTTGGGCCAATGGAAACTTTCCACCCCGATTTTTTTGATTAAAAATAAAAATATGAAAAAACGCTCTGACACGTCGATTTTGGAATCTAGGGGGAACCATTTTCAGGGGAGAGCAACCCCTCGAATTTGAATCGGGGAGGGGTCGTGGCATACCTCTTTTTGAAGGTCTCATCGCGTTCTTTATGACCCTAGAATTTCGGCTCATTATTTTCATCCCTGACGAAATGACAGCTCGTCAAAGTTTATTAGGGATTTGAAGATATGGATACTATTAAAAACT